CTGATTGAAGCAGTGAAGGAAGACTATCTTGGATTGATGACAGCATTCATAGAATATGATAGCAAGACTTGTCAATTCTTTCACTTGAGTGTACAGGAATTTCTAGCTGCATGGTGGATAGCTAAGCATGAGAAGAAGACAGAAAAAATATTTAATAATCACTTTGATGATGATCACTTTCGAATGTGCTTGAGGTTTGTGGCAGGTCTAACTCACCTTGAACATAAGAGCTATCAACAGTATTTTAATAAACAGCTTGATTTACAGTGTAAGAGGAAACCATTGTTTGGATTTGAGACTTGTCATCTCTCCTACTTTTATCAGAATCCTGAGATTAGACAGAGCACTTATGATGATCATGTCAGCTCTATTGATTTCGACAATGTTCCCATTCTTCTTCTTCAACTCGTGTATGAATCACAGAACACAACATTGTGTCAAGTATTAGCAAAATCTATCAACAATCACTCACTGTGTCTGGATAGGGTATCATTATCATTGTTTGACTGGTTGTGTCTCAGTCATTGTATAAACAATTCCAACACAACATGGAATCACTTGCACCTAGGGAATGTATCTCACCAGGAACTATCAGTCTTCACTGACAATAACTCACTACAGATCCAGTGTAAGAGACTCGAGGCATGGTTTGATAGATCCTCTGGTGAATTAACACATAATATACTCCAGACACCACTTCTATACAATATTCAGGAGGGCTATTGTGGATTAGAAAGTGGTCAATATGTTCCATGCCTTGTATTGTTACAGTTCTTTAATCTTCCTCAATTGAAGATATTGCACTTGACAATGGGCAGTTCTAGGATACCAACAGTTAACAATACATACTACACAGACAAGTGCACTGAACTTGAGAAATGCATAGAGATGAATTCAACACTACAAGAAATCAATATTCAGTACACAGGATTGAAGGAAATAACATGTACTATTACCGGTATCATTAGAGGAGTAGCAAGAAATAAAACAATAACATCATTAACACTACATCTAGTTATATATGATCCTCCTCCTCCTCTTCCTGATGGAGTAATAGAGCAGTTACTGAAGGACAACAAAACATTACAAGCTCTTTCTTTACACATAGATGATGTACTCCTACCATCACCACTGAATATAGTAGAGGTGAACACACCACTGACTGCTCTAGAAATAGGAGGGAAGGGTAAAGAACTGATGACATCACTCCTTCCTCATTTCAAAGGATTACACTGTCTGATACTACATGATCCATACCCACCACATCTTCTATTTGAGTCTCATCCCAGTCTACATACACTTACTTTATTGCCAGACACAGTTCAGCTTATGTGTCTATTTTCTATTCTAGAAACCAATACTACACTTAAAGCTCTGAATGTAAAGTCAGGGTATGAAGCATTTTTTGGCAGCTTACCAGATTTTAACTCTAATGAGGATAGTGAGGAGTCTCGTTTTCAAAGCATATTATTATTTCTGCTGGCACCAGCAATGATTCTAAAAAACATGCTAACACAAAACAAAGTACTAAAATGCCTAGATACTGACTGGTTGCAGAGTGACATTCAAATTCCTTTACAATACCTAGTTGAAGGTCTCAAAGGCAACACCAGTCTACAGCAGTTGAGTGTTTCCATTCCCCTGCCTATTGATGAAGGTTATAATCATGAGACTTCAGAAAATATAAGAGGTTTTTTCTCTCAAAAAAAATTTCTTTCAAAGAGCTTAAAATGAACTTTGTACCAGTTCAGGGATTTTTTGAATCATATAGCTCGGAAGAGAAGAAAAAAATTGTGGCATCATTGTTTTATGAACAGTTACTGCCTGCTGTTACTAATATGTTACAGACACAAACAACCATCAGACTACTGGGAATAAAGTGTGAATACTTCAATCCGTGCTGGTCATCTCAACCTAACTGGATAGAAGTAGTACAACATTTATATAGAACTATTTTCATCCATCCATCACTTGAATACATTGGGATTTATACCGGATACCCTATTCCTTCTCTCCTACTGAATACTTTTAAAGATCAAAAGAAGACATTGAGTGATAGATTCAGAAAGCGACGACTATGCAAACCACTACCAATAGTGGATTTTAAGTATTATTAGTACTTAGTAGTATCAGTAGATAATAATTATAATTTTGCTTTGTTTTTTTGACATCTGATATTAGGTTTTTGTTTTGTATTTTGGTCTGGTTTTTTTTTGATCTTGATGACATTAATTACCGTATAGGGGTTTTATTTTGTTGGTATAAAATTTTGCGAATTTGTCCTGATTTGCCATTTGTTGGTATAAATTTTCGTGAATCCTACCTTCTGCAGCCATTTTTCCTAGTGTGCCACACCTCTTTTGTGGAATTTAATTTTTTGAATTTAATGAAAACGTGAAATTTATTTCCAGTGAAATATAGCCCCTATATGGTATTTTGTATTCATCAACTAGTCTCCAACTGAACCTGAAAAATCAATTAGACATCGATTAATAGACTACTGTATCGTGTCTACATTATGATTACATTAGAATTTGGCCAAGAAGGCCCAAACAATAACATAATTTTTGGTAGCCGAGGGAGAATGCTAATAGTTTTATTTGGAGCAAATATCATTCTAAATAAAACATTAGTACACTAGTTACATGTAGATGCATGCATCTTACAGAGGAAAATTATAGTAATAATTATAATTAATTTTGGTTTGGCACATTTTGAATTAAAACTTGCCAATATGAACTGACACAAGTATATGTACAACAAAAGTCACTTTTGTAAGAAATTTGTGTCTTTAAGAACAAAAAAATTGCAATCATCATCAATAGCTCATAATGAACAAGAAGTATATCAAAAGGAGGATCAATCATTGCACCGTTCTAGACAATAATAATAATAATAATAATAATAATAATAATAATAATAATAATAATAATAATAATAATACCATACAAGATGATTTACTGGTGAGGAGTTAATATTAGAAATTGGAGGTTTTATGAAGAAATCGCCAATATAAAATCCACCATTTTGTTTTAATCTGAGAATGCTCAAGGCATGTGGCACAAATCGTTATAATAAAATTTGCCAATTAACTTTCCACAGGCAAATTCGCCAAATATTACTCTCACCTATAAATCATCTTGTACAGTATTTAAGCCAAAAATTAAGCCAGACCTTAAAAAATTACCCATAAAGTATGTTTTTGCTGCTATGAATATTGTTCCTTTACACCCAGTACATATACCTAACCTGATAATAATTCTTTAAATGTTTTTTGGTCTTTCTCATCAACTTTAGAATAGTCTCTTCCCTCGTACATGTATATTGTCTCTGGTCCTCTTTTCTCCTCCTCTCCCTCTCCTTCTAATGCTTCAGGTACTGCAGTGTCTTGTATTATCCAGTATCCATTAGGATCAGTTTCACCAATTATACTAATAAAAATATGCGAAATAAATATTGCCCATCATAAAGTTAGTGGAATTTTAGGATTGCTATGGCTCTGTCATAATATTTGGCAAAATGCAAAAAATTTAAGATTAGC